TATTTACCTATGATAGGTCCTTATCATTTTCAACTTGACGATCGTAATGGTAAATGGAATATAAATGTACAGTAAACTACGGTCATTACGAACTCAAAGGGACCACTTATTTTAGTTCGTTATAACCGTAGTTCGTTATAAGCATATATACAGCATATATACAACACATGGACAGGACTACAAAATCAGTTCGTTATATCGGTCAGTTCGTTATAAGCGTGTTCGTTATAACCGTAGTTTACTGTACAATGACCAGATCTCGAGATTTGTACACAACGTTAAGGTGACATCCAGTGATATAAGTCGTCCCTCTTGTCATACAGTCTTGTGGAGAGTGTTTTGTCACTCTGAATCTTTATGCATAGATCTACAATGTAGATATGAAACAGATGAGATGTTAGGTTTCATACCACTCGCCCCAGGCAACTTGTTGCACTAGGAAGCCGGGAGGATTGCGAAGCTCCGTGAATGTCATCCGATAGTTTATTTCTGATGCAACAGGACACCAGCAAGTAAGTATGCACCCCAAACAACCCAGGTCACCATGCCCCGACGATCTCAAAACAAATATCTATCGTGTGACGGGACACACACTATAAGATCTTTTGTTACTTTCTATGTACGTTGGAAAGCACAGCTAGACAGATAAGTTAAAATCTGTTTTGAAACCAACTGCATCGTGTTATTAATTAATTTCATAGAATAAGTTTATATGTGTATGCTGATGATAAATAGGTTGGGTGCGTGTACTTACTGTGATTGCGAAGATGATGTAGATATTCAGAGGCATCATTATCAGTGTGCCTTGCTGGGATGGCGAGGAGAAGGTACAGCTATCCGTATCAAGCAGCCCCAACCAGGCAACCTCAATACACAAATACCCAGTTTAACAATGACGTCGTTGAAAAGAGATTGTAGCCAGAAGGTAGGACTACTTGACCTTGTTGCATGAGAGGGTATGAGAAAATGTATAAAAGAGTGGGAAAACCCTATGAATTAGAACCGCATGCTTTGAAATCATTTGCTTTTGCATATCAAGCGTGAAACATACATGCAGATAAAAAAATCAAGTTTCATCTGTCTAGACAGCAATATTGATTCAAACACTATGTAGCTTACGTAAGACTTCCCTTCATGACCTGCGTTTGTAATGTGGTAGTCATACCAACTATCGTCGTATCTTGAAAACACAATTCCGCTGGTATGCACAGGAGGACGCGAGGTTACATATATCACATATCACACAATTATATCACAATGGTGTAAGACGCATCTGTCGAAAAAGGCAGCGGACACGGGTGGCTCAGTTTTCTATGGCGCCACAATCACATGTGCAGGGCACGCCAGAAACCTATGAATGTGGGTTCGAATCCCGATTCGCCCCGACTTGTTTCTATGTTTATCAGCACCATGCCCATCCTCGTGGGTTTCACCAAAGTGGTAAACGTCTAGTTATTTTTTCTATAACGCCTCCATCACATGAAAAGGGGCGGTCGGGCAGCCTAGTGGTTAAAGCGTTCGCTCGTCACGCCGCAGGCCTGGGTTCGATTCCCGACATGGGTGCAATGTATACTGAGTCAAATTAAAAACTTCACAGTTTTAAAAGTACAGTAAACTACGGTTATAACGAACTCAAGGGGACTCCTAATTTTAGTTCGTTATAACCGTAGTTCGTTATAAGCATATATACAGCATAACTACAGCAAATAGACAGCAAAAAAGTAAGTTCGTTATATCCGTCAGTTCGTTATAAGCGTGTTCGTTATAACCGTACTTTACTGTAATCCCATATATGATATACAGCGGACAAATGTATCAGAGAAGGTAATTTTTAATCATTAATGTCCAAAGAAGGATTTTAATTAACGGTGGTAACCATAATTTGTTCCAAGCACCAACGGTATTCGGTAATAACGTCAACAGTTTAAATCATAAGTCCCAACGCACACAACGCCTCCGCATGGACCATGTGATGCTTGTGAACACAAGATTGGGAAGACGACGCCATTGTTGCTGCAAAATGGTGTCAAGATCTTGCAAATTCTGTGGTTGGTTCTGGAGAGTGCGCAAAAATTTCTGCCAAGAGCATCCCAGACGTGTTCGATGGGATTGAGTTCGGGAGACCTTGACGGCCAGTCCATGACGTTGACTCCCGCATTCTGAAGGAAATTCCTTGTCAAAATTGCTGGGTGGGGTCTGGCATTGTCGTGTTAGAAGATCAAACCGGGTCCATGTGCTGCTATAAAAGGCAGAGGTTCTGGTGCCAGTACCTGGTCGCGGTAAGCAGTAGCGTTGAGGTTGCCACGGATGACAAGAAGCCTGGCATTGCCACAGAAAGCACCCCACACCATGACACTTCCGCCTCGGAACCTGTCAACATCCTGTACACAACACTGGGCGTAACGCTCATGACGGCGCCTCCACATCCTCGCCCTACCAACAGCAAATCGAAGATTAAATCGGGATTCTTCACTGAAGACGACTTGATTCCAATTCCTCTGAGTCCATCTTTAGTGTCGCTGTGCCCACAATTGACGTTGACGTCTGTGTAATTGAGTCAGAATCGGCCCGCAGTATGGCCGCCGTGCTTGAAGGTGAGCAGTTCTCAGACGGTTTCGAACAGTTTGCGCACTCAGTCTACCCCTTAACAGTTCATTTCTGGTTGATGTTGCCGTCAAAAATCGGTTACGGAGGTGACGTAAGACGATCTGACGATCCTCTGCATGTGACGTCACGCGTGGTCAACCTGGCCGAGGGCGATCAGCGGTGGTACCCGTTTGCTGTAGACGCGTCTGTAAATCATAAACAGTCCGTCGACTACAACCCATCGTCCTTGCGACTTCAGCTACGGACGTTCCCGTCTGCAACATGCCGATGGCACGTTCACGCTGCACATTTGAAAGGCGTGGCATGACAAATGGCCGTAAAGACTTTTGTTTTCTTGTGTTTTTCTTTTTTTGTTAATGACTGCTAACAAGTATGGCTTAAAACACGTGCGGTATTATGGCAACGTGACCAGTTGAACGTAAAAAAACACTTTTGCCACTATAGTGTTGTGCACATGATTTTAATCGATTCACCTGCTCAAAAACGGGGGTTATCTGAAGACAATACGTGGCCATTACTGTTTAAATACACAATAAGGGCCCACGATGATAACTGGTCAAAATGTTAAAATTTTAGGATTGTGAAGTTTTTAATTTGGTTCAGTATATTAAGCCGATTTCTGGTGTCCCCCGCCGTTATATTGCTTGACTTTTGCTAAAAGCGGCGTAAAACAATACTCACTCACTCACCTGAAACAAAACACGGAAACATACATGAATAGTACAGGTCAAAATAGGAAAATCCTTCGGACGTCATTCTTGTCACTGATACGTCGAAATGTCTTCAACAAGCTTGTCATACCACGTTTTGAAAGCTTTACTGAGGCCTTGAATGTTGTACGCTTGGTTAAACAACTTCTGAGCAAGAGTCGCATGACGCTCTTTGAAATCTTAGTAGAAAGAGCATGCTCTATTGTACCTCAAATGTTGTGAAATGTAGATCCCAAGGGACTTGAGCTTCACGAATATTGCTCATCATTAAGGGAAAGTTGACAATTGGAAAGTCGAAGTCGTTCCTCTTTTCATACAGTCATGTACATGTGGAGAGTGTTTTGTCACTCTGAATCTGTATGCATAGGTCGAAATATGAAACAGTCGAGGCGCTCTCACTTGCCGCCTTTATTTCGTTGTTTTACGCCGCACTCAGCAATATTCCAGCTATATGACGGCGGTCTGTAAATAATCGAGTCTGGACCAGACAGTCTAGTAATTGATATCATAAGCATCAATCCACGCAATTGGGATCGATAACCTGTGTGTGTGATCATGTACATGTCCATTGTAGTTATGTATATAGTAGTCAATTTGATTGAATCGGCGATAGTGTAGCGCGGCATCGACGATAATTATGACAACCTTACTTGTCCTCGATGTATTGATATCAGACAATGGATGACAGTTCGATAATCGATCTATGAATAGCCTTATCGTGGGAATGTACTGGAGTCATTTAGTCCCAGAAATACATGTATCGTTGTTAAAAATATATATCTACAAAATTAAAATTTAATCCCTATAACAATGCATAATTTCAAGGCTACCACTGAGGCAGTCTAGACATGCCAAATCTTTCTAGACTTGAGTCTTTTTTTTAAATGTACTGTCTTGTGTCTGTGAGACAGACTACAGTGTCAGTATCGCATGGAAAACTGCATAGTAGGGGGAATCACGATAGGGTCAGCCCGGGCCAGTGGCATCGGATATGTTACTGAGGGGTGTTAACAATGATGTAATAAAGGGGTTATTTTTCTTTCAAGTTTGCTGAATATAGAATTACCTCCACACACATCGCCTGTTTATATGATATATGTTGTTAAGCGTCACCCTGAGATCAAACAATTAGAATTGACGTATGTGGAAAGAAAGAGGTACTGAAGAAATTGGGTGAACACATGCAAAAATCGCAAAAAACACAACCACGCCTGGCGCTGAAACACGCCTGAAACACTTCACATGAAAAGGTTCAATTTTCATTTGCATGCCACACATTCTTTCAGTTAGTGAGTGAGTGCGTGAGTTGGGTTTAACGCAGCTTAATGTGGGAGGAAAGCCCGAAGTGATGCAGGTCTCAGACGTTTACCACTTCGGTGAAACCAACGAGCAGGGGTATGGTGCTGACAAACCTAGAAACATAATTGGAGCGAGCCGGGATTCGAACCCACAATCATAGGTTTCTGGCGTGCCAAAGGGACGCAACTCTGCACAGCGAATCGCGGCGCCTTAGACGACTGGGCCACCTTTGCCCCCTACAGCATGTGAACAGCGAAAACATGCCACGACGGACGGAAGCCCAACGCAGCAAGGCCATCAGCCGGCTGCAAACAGGAGAATCATCTTCAGCAGTTGTCCCTCGTGGCACCAAGCATCATTACAAGACTGGACATTATCAGCCACATGGGACAACACGTGACCTTCCCAGATCACTACCAGAGCACAGGACAGATTCATACGGTGACGTCACAAAACCACCACGGCCACCTCTACAACTACGGACGGACCAGCATCACCGGCTACGACGTCAATGATGTCCAAATCATAGAGTATGGCCACAACTGCGATGGAGAAACGTTTGGTTTAGTGACGAGTATGCTTCGCCGTGCAGATGGTACAGGCGTCGCGGGAAACGTTATGTACGAAACTGCATGGAGTAAGTGGACAGACTTGGTGCTGGTAATGTGATGATGTTGGCAGAAATATCCTACACTGGTATCAAATGGAACAACGCTTCACGCATGAGATTCTACGGTCACACGTCCTTCCCATTATGACAACGCTCGACAGCTTTTGTCAGGAATCACAACGTCCTGCCATGGCTCTCCAGGCGTCCACATCTAAACCCAATCGAACATATATGTACCACAGGACCACAAGAACCACAGAACGTCCGCCAGTTGGCACGAGCACTGCAGGTCGATTTTCACCTAAAAATGTGCCAATAGCCGTACTTAAACTTTCATCAGTCCCATTTAGACATATTTTTGTATCATCAGCATATTGTCCGTGTTTATGTTCCACATTATTCAGGCTGATACCTTTTATTGCTCTATTATCACGAATCATCATTCCCAAAGTTTCTGCAATGAGAAGGAATAGATATGGAGACAATGGGTCTGCTTGTCTACATCCCCTTTCGTTATAGAAGAATGAAGACAGGTGTCCATGTTGTATGATGCAAGATGAAGCATTATTTATAAGTATGTAATATCTATTTTCTCATATTAGGTCCTAAGCCAAACTTTTCCAGTGTCAACATGGTAAATTGTTTTGAAATGGTATCAAAAAGTCTATAAGAAATAGTAATCAAGGCGTATTTTGTAATTTTGTTTCAAACAAGATATAAAATAGTCGTATGATTTCGCTGATACATCTTCAAGGGATAAGGCCAGTTTGGTTTTCATGTATGAGAGTATTAAGTGTCGTTTTAATTCTTTTTGCTATAAATTTACTTAAAATTTTATACAATGAATTGAAGAGAGTAATTGGTCGAGTTATGAGAATGTGTTTGTCGTACGTGCCTTTGGGTATACAGGTAATGACGCCGCTGTTCATTGTTTGACTTAACGTGTTCTTTCTAAATGTTTCTGTAATATACATGTATAATCCAAGATCCTTCCAGATAAAAAATTAAAAAACTATACTGGGAATCCATCAATACCTGGGTTTTTGTTATTTGTCATACACTCCCCCCCCCCCCAAAAAAAAAAAAGAAAAAAAGAAAAAAAAGAAACGCGCAGGTAGATTTTTAGTAAATTAAAATTAATTTAGCACCTAATAAAGTCGATATATTTCATTAAATATCATAGATACAAATATGAAACTTTGGAGCTCGATAGTCACATGTTGTGGTTGTACAAATGCATTGAAAATTGTTCGTTGTCATGTCACATAAGGCCACAAGGTTGCACTGAACTCAGTATCTCGTGTGACCGCCCGGGCAGCAATCACGGCTCTGCATCTCCTCGGCACTGACTGGATAAGTGTTCATCATGTCTTCTAAATCATCAAACTGAGATTTACACAGGTTTGGTGTATTCAGTTTCTGTAATAAATTATCGGTTAAAAACTCCCCTTTTTCAGTTATAATACTGTTAATTAGTTTATTGATATAGTTCCTTTTTTCAAGATGCCAACAATATTTTGATTGTTTCTCTCCTACCTCGTACCACTGGATTCTGTTATTATTTGTATCACTCTTTATTCTTCTTCTTTCAGATTTTCAAAAATTACTTAATATTAAGACAAGTCTGACAGCTTTGATTCACTTATATTCTGAAAATTTTCCATAATTTCCTCTTCTATTTGCTTTATCTTTTCCTCTAACGTTTTACTTTCTTCATTTTGGGTATAAGTGGCAAAAATATTGATGTGCCTCTCACTTTCATCAAAAATGTTTCTGAAACAATAGTATCACTGATATTTAATTCTAAGTTTAGGCCTTCGGTTTTACTCGCTTCATCTTTGGAATATTTACTATTTGAATATTCCAGCTTTGTTTCTTCTAGTGTTTCCTTCACTATTTGGATATATTCATTGTTAAACAGTAAAGATGTATTCAACTTCCAGTAGCCACCACTTCTTTCTTTGCTAAGCGTATTCGAAAAAGTCAACGTATACGGAATTGCAGAGTGATCAGAGTGTATCCTGGTATATTTGAATAATCATTAGTATATTTGCAATGTCTTGTGAGACCAAAAGGAAGTCAAGTCTAGCTTGTTGTTTTGGGTTTTCTTCTACCATCTGTTTTTTTTTCATCTTGACTTTTTTTCTCTCTAAATATCAATTAGATCAAAGCTTTCTGCTTTTTCAAGTACAAACTTTCTTGCTTTGGGATTGTTGATATACTTATAATTTTCCAAATTGACATCTGGATTGAGTACCAAGTTAAGATATTCGCATATTATCAGTGATTCGTTTTCAAATCCGTCAATATTATTGAAAAAAGTATAGTAAAAAGCAGTTTTGGGCCATAAATATTACTAGTCAGAGTTAACCTTATGCCTTTTATTGTGATATTTGCCATTAATATCTTGTTTAAATGTATGGGTTTTTATTTCTAAAGTATTACAAAACAAAATGGTAACTCATCTTGCATTTATCTTGTAAGGCGCTATAATACTTTGTCCCCATTCATTTCTCCTTATTGTTTCGTCATCCTTAGAAATATGAATGTCTTGTTGACATATGATAGAAAATTACTTCTTTCGACAAAGGTTCATCACTTCTTTACGTTTTCTTTTATCTGCTAGGCGCATGTAATTTGCTGATACTATTCTGAATTTGTCACCCACATTCAGTGTTTTTCATAATAAGCACTAATATTGTTGTCAAGGTTGTTATCTATATCATACATTGATTCATCACCTACTGTGACCGCCTCCGTGGTCTAGTGGTAGAGCGTCCGCCCGGAGAGCGGAAGGTCCGGGGTGCAATCCCCTGTCGCGTCATACCAAAAGACGTTAAAAGATGGTACTTGGTACCTGTCTGGCGCTCGGCATTAAGGGGCTAAAACAAGGACAGGTAGGCTCGGAGTCAGTATACTGTGTCTGAGTGGGGTATTCATGTTAAACCGATGCATGGTATCTCAGTGGGCTAGCACTATAAATCGGCATCAGTCCGGACAAGTACAAGCAGCCACACACACACACACACGTGCATGCACGTCGCTATATAAGTGCAATAATCTTGGACGCGATGTTAAACCCCATTTCACCTCACCATCACCTACTGAATTGAAATTTTTTAATTTTTGTGGGAAAAAGAGATTGTACGAAAACATACAATTATAAAAACAAAGTAGATATGGAAGCGTTTCCACAAGCTACAACCACCATTGGTATCCTAAATCAAACAGTATTACCATGGCCAGAATTGGATGTGTTAATATAGCCATCAACTGACCTGTCCTCTAACTAGCCCAAGGAAGGGAGGTAACTCACGTGTGAACATGGTTGATGTGAGAGAATAACACGTCAACACAAGGACATGTTTCTAATGGCATCATAAATCATACGTAGTTCTCAGATTTTATCTTCAGTCGAACAATTCACGAAAACTATTTGACCATACACCAATACAGGTACTCACTTGTCGGCATTATGGCTCACGTAATCTATACTACCGGTACACGTCCTGGATAATTATAGCGCTACACGTCAAAATTAAATAACACTGATTCTACCTGACATACACCTATTTCAGTCGGTGTTGAGAGTCAACAGAGATACATAATCTCACGAACATGGACTTGTTAGTGTCATATGCGCTATGTTTATAAAGTGGTAATTCACGAAAACATTTAGTCACATGACACTCACGTGATTCTATAAATAGCAACTTCAGATCTAAGAGATAATACGAGTGTTACTGAACGTCATTCTATCATAGATTGATCAAAGTTACAACAGATGCAGACTTCACCGCACATCCCATTTGCTTTTTGAGTGAATTTTTTAATATATGTTTTCATGTCATCGAACATGCTCACCGACATGGCTGTCGCTTGATTCTCCGGTGTCGGGGTAGTGTCGCTATCAGTCGAAGATTTTGACTTTGTTGATGTTTGATCCACTGAACTAACTTGCTGAACGGCTTGCTGAGATTCAGTCTCACCTTTACCCCTGTGGCTTTGTCTTAGATTGGACATTTTAGTTAGGATTTTGATGGATTTTGTTCGGGAGGTTGTTATGGACGACCTGTCGCGATGAGCGCTACCTGTACTTTTCAAGTACAATGCACTTTATATATACAATGGTACACAATAGATTTGAAGGTGATAGGAAAATTATACAGTTAATTTGAATCTGAAGGGTATTATGTTTATTTGTTTCTTTGTACTGACAGGGTGGGGACAAGGGAGGTCCGTACTGACCGATGGGGACTAGGGAGGTCCGTACTGACTGCAGGGGACTTGGGAGGTCCGTACTGACCGATGGGGACTAGGGAGGTCCCTACTGACGGGAGGGGACTAGGGAGGTCCGTACTGACGGGAGGGGACTAGGGAGGTCCGTACTGACCGATGGGGACTAGGGAGGTCCGTACTGACGGGCGGGGACTAGGGAGGTCCGTACTGACCGATGGGGACTAGGGAGGTCCGTACTGACTGCAGGGGACTTGGGAGGTCCGTACTGATGGGGTGTGGGCTAGAGAGGTCCGTACTGACTGGTGGGTACTTGGGAGGTCTGTACTGACGGGAGTGGTTTTGGGAGGTCCGCACTGACGTATTGATACTTGAGAGGTCCGTACTGACAGGGTGGGGACTAGGGAGGTCCGTACTGACAGGGTGGGGACTAGGGAGGTCCGTACTGACAGGGTGGGGACTAGGGAGGTTCGTACTGACGGGTTGGGGACTAGGGAGGTCCGTACTGACAGGGTGGGGACTAGGGAGGTCCGTACTGACAGGGTGGGGACTAGGGAGGTTCGTACTGACGGGTTGGGGACTAGGGAGGTCCGTACTGACGGATGGGTACAAGGGAGGGTCGTACTGACGGGGTGAGGACTGGGGAGGTCCGTACTGACGGGTGGGTACCAGGGAGGTCCGTACTGACGGGTGGGTACTTGGAAGGTCCGTACTGACGTATTGATACTTGAGAGGTCTATTATTCTATAAATAATTAGAACTTGTTTGTTTCAGTTCAGTAACCATGGAACTGACATGATAAATCGACACGAACGTTACTGCTGCGGTCCTATGACAGTAAATTCAAATATTCCTTTTGCATATACTACACAAAAGGACAATTCTTTTCTTTCACATTGCTATACATGCAGTTAAACTATACCAATATCGGAAACATCGGATGGTCCTCAACATTTTTAGTAAAATGTCCTCAATTAAGTTTTGCAATTTCCGACTAGTCTTACCTTTTATCCACGATTTTCCGTCTACAACCTACAGCACCACAGAAACGGGGTGTGATATAAATCCCCATTCATTTCTCCTTATTGTTTCGTCCATCCTTAGAAATATGAATGTCTTGTTGACATATGATAGAAAATTACTTCTTTCGACAAAGGTTCATCACTTCTTTACGTTTTCTTTTATCTGCTAGGCGCATGTAATTTGCTGATACTATTCTGAATTTGTCACCCACATTCAGTGTTTTTTCAAAATAAGCACTAATATTGTTGTCAAGGTTGTTATCTATATCATACATTGATTCATCACCTACTGTGACCGCCTCCGTGGTCTAGTGGTAGAGCGTCCGCCCGGAGTGCGGAAGGTCCGGGGTGCGATCCCCTGTCGCGTCATACCAAAAGACGTTAAAAGATGGTACTTGGTACCTGTCTGGCGCTCGGCATTAAGGGGCTAAAACAAGGACTGGTCGGCTCGGAGTCAGTATACTGTGTCTGAGTGGGGTATTCATGTTAAACCGATGCATGGTATCTCAGTGGGCTAGCACTATAAATCGGCATCAGTCCGGACTAGTACAAGCAGCCACACACACACACACACACGTGCATGCACGTCGCTATATAAGTGCAATAATCTTGGACGCGATGTTTAACCCCATTTCACCTCACCATCACTTCTGAATTGAATATTTTTAATGTTTGTGGGAAAAAGAGATTGTATGAAAACATACAATAATAAAAACAAAGTAGATATGGAAGCGTTTCCACAAGCTACAACCACCATTGGTATCCTAAATCAAACAGTATTACCATGGCCAGAATTGGATGTGTTAATATAGCCATCAACTGACCTGTCCTCTAACTAGCCCAAGGAAGGGAGGTAACTCACGTGTGAACATGGTTGATGTGAGAGAATAACACGTCAACACAAGGACATGTTTCTAATGGCATCATAAATCATACGTAGTTCTCAGATTTTATCTTCAGTCGAACAATTCACGAAAACTATTTGACCATACACCAATACAGGTACTCACTTGTCGGCATTATGGCTCACTGTTCCTTGCGGAGTGTACAAATCACGTAATCTATACTACCGGTACACGTCATGGATAATTATAGCGCTACACGTCAAAATTAAATAACACTGATTCTACCTGACATACCTACATTTGTATTTCAGTCGGTGTTGAGAGTCAACAGAGATACATAATCTCACGAACATTGGCTTGTTAGTTTCATGTGCGCTTTGTTTATAAAGTGGTAATTTACGAAAACATTTAGTCACATGACACTCACGTGATTCTATAAATAGCAACTTCAGATCTAAGAAATAATACGAGTGTCGCTGAACGTCATACTATCATAGATTGATCAAAGTTACAACAGATGCAGACTTCACCGCACATCCCATTTGCTTTTTGAGTGATTTTTTTAATATATGTTTTCATGTCATCGAACATGCTCACCGACATGGCTGTCGCTTGATTCTCCGGTGTCGGGGTAGTGTCGCTATCAGTCGAAGATTTTGACTTTGTTGATGTTTGATCCACTGAACTAACTTGCTGTACGGCTTGCTGAGATTCAGTCTCACCTTTACCCCTGTGGCTTTGTCTTAGATTGGACATTTTAGTTAGGATTTTGATGGATTTTGTTCGGGAGGTTGTTATGGACGACCTGTCGCGATGAGCGCTACCTGTACTTTTCAAGTACAATGCACTTTATATATACAATGGTACACAATAGATTTGAAGGTGATAGGAAAATTATACAGTTAATTTGAATCTGAAGGGTATTATGTTTATTTGTTTCTTTGTACTGACAGGGTGGGGACAAGGGAGGTCCGTACTGACCGATGGGGACTAGGGAGGTCCGTACTGACTGCAGGGGACTTGGGAGGTCCGTACTGACCGATGGGGACTAGGGAGGTCCCTACTGACGGGAGGGGACTAGGGAGGTCCGTACTGACGGGAGGGGACTAGGGAGGTCCGTACTGACCGATGGGGACTAGGGAGGTCCGTACTGACGGGTGGGGACTAGGGAGGTCCGTACTGACCGATGGGGACTAGGGAGGTCCGTACTGACTGCAGGGGACTTGGGAGGTCCGTACTGTCGGGAGGTGACTAGGGAGGTCCGTACTGTCGGGAGGTGACTTGGGAGGTCCGTACTGACCGATGGGGACTAGGGAGGTCCGTACTGACAGGGTGGGGACTAGGGAGGTCCGTACTGACGGGAGGGGACTTGGTAGGTCCGTACTGACGAGAGGGGTCTATTGCGATGCATAATGACAGATGGGGACTAGGGAGGTCCGTACTGACCGATGGGGACTAGGGAGGTCCGTACTGACGGGAGGGGACTTGGGAGGTCCGTACTGACCGATGGGGACTAGGGAGGTCCGTACTGACCGATGGGGACTAGGGAGGTCCGTACTGACTGCAGGGGACTAGGGAGGTCCGTACTGACCGATGGGGACTAGGAGGTCCCTACTGACGGGAGGGGACTAGGGAGGTCCGTACTGACGGGAGGGGTCTATTGAGGTGCATAATGACCGATGGGGACTAGGGAGGTCCGTACTGACTGCAGGGGACTAGGGAGGTCCGTACTGACCGATGGGGACGAGGGAGGTCCCTACTGACGGGAGGGGACTTGGGAGGTCCGTACTGTCGGGAGGTGACTTGGGAGGTCCGTACTGACCGATGGGGACTAGGGAGGTCCCTACTGACTGCAGGGGACTAGGGAGGTCCGTACTGACCGATGGGGACGAGGGAGGTCCCTACTGACGGGAGGGGACTTGGGAGGTCCGTACTGTCGGGAGGTGACTTGGGAGGTCCGTACTGACCGATGGGGACTAGGGAGGTCCCTACTGACTGCAGGGGACTAGGGAGGTCCGTACTGACCGATGGGGACTAGGGAGGTCCCTACTGACGCGAGGGGACTAGGGAGGTCCATACTGACGGGAGGGGTCTATTGAGGTGCATAATGACAGATGGGGACTAGGAATGTCCGTACTGACCGATGGGGACTAGGGAGGTCCCTACTGACTGCAGGGGACTAGGGAGGTCCGTACTGACCGATGGGGACTAGGGAGGTTCCTACTGACGGGAGGGGACTAGGGAGGTCCCTACTGACGGGAGGGGACTAGGGAGGTCCGTACTGACGGAGGGGTCTATTGAGGTGCATAATGACAGATGGGGACTAGGAAGGTCCGTACTGACCGATGGGGACTAGGGAGGTCCGTACTGACCGATTGGGACTAGGGAGTTCCGTACTGACGGGAGGGGACTAGGGAGGTCCGTACTGACGGGAGGGGACTAGGGAGGTCCGTACTGACGGGAGGGGACTTGGGAAAAGAGAACTTATGGGTGCTGGGATAAAATTGTTCTATGGCGTCATAAAAACGTTTGACGTCAACTTTCTTCAGTAAAGATAGATATGTGTGATGTCATGTATCTCTGTAATAAATACGAATTGAAGCTTGTGAACTATTTTTGGTGTTCCGATCCGAAGATGCTGTAGTTTGAAAATATAATGATAAGTCAAAATGTGATTTTTCACTCATTAGGTTCCTTATCTCCTGGTTGGTCAACATCAGTAACCCTCATGGGATGTTTTATGTTCTACTTATCTCATCGGACATAACAATCATCTCCTCATCTCATAGTTCGCATTTCCCATTTTGATAATGCCCTTAAATAATCACCCATGATGAGGAGACGGCTTTGAGATGTCCGCGCAGCGTCTAATCCTACTTTACAAGTCTTTTGGTCACTGAATGAGTGGCTATAGCAACTACACATATCCCTTAGGACCAGGAATGTCTTTTTAAAACAAAGAAGCATCTCTACTGGTTAAATGTGAAAGGTGGATTATTAGCAGGTATTGGTACAGTGTCCGGGGGGGGGGGGGGGGCATTTATATCACACCCCGTTTCTGTGGTGCTGTAGGTTGTAGACGGAAAATCGTGGATAAAAGGTAAGACTAGTCGGAAATTGCAAAACTTAATTGAGGACATTTTACTAAAAATGTTGAGGACCATCCGATGTTTCCGATATTGGTATAGTTTAACTGCATGTATAGCAATGTGAAAGAAAAGAATTGTCCTTTTGTGTAGTATATGCAAAAGGAATATTTGAATTTACTATCATAGGACCGCAGCAGTAACGTTCGTGTCGATTTATCATGTCAGTTCCATGGTTACTGAACTGAAACAAACAAGTTCTAATTATTTATAGAATAATAGACCTCTCAAGTATCAATACGTCAGTACGGACCTTCCAAGTACCCACCCGTCAGTACGGACCTCCCTGGTACCCACCCGTCAGTACGGACCTCCCCAGTCCTCACCCCGTCAGTACGACCCTCCCTTGTACCCATCCGTCAGTACGGACCTCCCTAGTCCCCAACCCGTCAGTACGAACCTCCCTAGTCCCCACCCTGTCAGTACGGACCTCCCTAGTCCCCACCCTGTCAGTACGGACCTCCCTAGTCCCCAACCCGTCAGTACGAACCTCCCTAGTCCCCACCCTGTCAGTACGGACCTCCCTAGTCCCCACCCTGTCAGTACGGACCTCCCTAGTCCCCACCCTGTCAGTACGGACCTCTCAAGTATCAATACGTCAGTGCGGACCTCCCAAAACCACTCCCGTCAGTACAGACCTCCCAAGTATCCACCAGTCAGTACGGACCTCTCTAGCCCACACCCCATCAGTACGGACCTCCCTAGTCCCCTCGCGTCAGTACGGATCTCCCAAGTACCCACCCGTCAGTACGGACCTCCCCAGTCCTCACCCCGTCAGTACGACCCTCCCTTGTACCCATCCGTCAGTACGGACCTCCCTAGTCCCCAACCCGTCAGTACGAACCTCCCTAGTCCCCACCCTGTCAGTACGGACCTCCCTAGTCCCCACCCTGTCAGTACGGACCTCCCTAGTCCCCACCCTGTCAGTACGGACCTCCCTAGTCCCCAACCCGTCAGTACGAACCTCCCTAGTCCCCACCCTGTCAGTACGGACCTCCCTAGTCCCCAACCCGTCAGTACGGACCTCCCTAGTCCCCACCCTGTCAGTACGGACCTCCCTAGTCCCCAACCCGTCAGTACGAACCTCCCTAGTCCCCACCCTGTCAGTACGGACCTCCCTAGTCCCCACCCTGTCAGTACGGACCTCCCTAGTCCCCACCCTGTCAGTACGGACCTCCCTAGTCCCCACCCTGTCAGTACGGACCTCTCAAGTATCAATACGTCAGTGCGGACCTCCCAAAACCACTCCCGTCAGTACAGACCTCCCAAGTACCCACCAGTCAGTACGGACCTCTCTAGCCCACACCCCATCAGTACGGACCTCCCTAGTCCCCTCCCGTCAGTACGGATCTCCCAAGTACCCACCCGTCAGTACGGACCTCCCCAGTCCTCACCCCGTCAGTACGACCCTCCCTTGTACTCATCCGTCAGTACGGACCTCCCTAGTCCCCAACCCGTCAGTACGGACCTCCCTAGTCCCCACCCTGTCAGTACGGACCTCTCAAGTATCAATACGTCAGTGCGGACCTCCCAAAACCACTCCCGTCAGTACAGACCTCCCAAGTACCCACCAGTCAGTACGGACCTCTCTAGCCCACACCCCATCAGTACGGACCTCCCTAGTCCCCTCCCGTCAGTACGGATCTCCCAAGTACCCACCCGTCAGTACGGACCTCCCCAGTCCTCACCCCGTCAGTACGACCCTCCCTTGTACCCATCCGTCAGTACGGACCTCCCCAGTCCTCACCCCGTCAGTACGACCCTCCCTTGTACCCATCCGTCAGTACGGACCTCCCTAGTCCCCAACCCGTCAGTACGGACCTCCCTAGTACTCATCCGTCAGTACGGACCTCCCCAGTCCTCACCCCGTCAGTACGACCCTCCCTTGTACCCATCCGTCAGTACGGACCTCCCTAGTCCCCAACCCGTCAGTACGAACCTCCCTAGTCAGTACGGACCTCTCAAGTATCAATACGTCAGTGCGGACCTCCCAAAACCACTCCCGTCAGTACAGACCTCCCTAGTCCCCTCGCGTCAGTACGGACCTCCCAAGTACCCACCCGTCAGTACGGACCTCTCTAGCCCACACCCCATCAGTACGGACCTCCTTTGTCCCTTCCCGTCAGTACGGACCTCCCTTGTACCCATCCGTCAGTACGGACCTCCCTAGTCCCCAACCCGTCAGTACGGACCTCTCTAGCCCACACCCCATCAGTACGGACCTCCTTTGTCCCTTCCCGTCAGTACAGACCTCCCTTGTACCCATCCGTCAGAACGGATCTCCCTAGTCCCCAACCCGTCAGTACGGACCTCCCTAGTCCCCAACCCGTCAGTACGGACCTCTCTAGCCCACACCCCATCAGTACGGACCTCCTTTGTCCCTTCCCGTCAGTACGGATCTCCCTAGTCCCCAAACCGTCAGTACGGACCTTCCTAGTCCCCATCGGTCAGTACGGACCTTCCTAGTCCCCTCCCTGTCAGTACGGAACTCTCTAGTCCCCTCCCGTCAGTACGGACCTCCCTAGTCCCCTCCCGTCAGTACGGACCTCTCTAGCCCACACCCCATCAGTACGGACTTCCCTAGTCCCCTCCCGTCAGTACGGACCTCCCTAGTCCCCTCCCGTCAGTACGGACCTCCCTAGTCCCCTGCAGTCAGTACGGACCTCTCTAGCCCACACCCGATCAGTACGGACCTCCCTAGTCCCCTCCCGTCAGTACGGACCTCCCAAGTACCCACCCGTCAGTACGGACCTCTCTAGCCCACACCCGATCAGTACGGACCTCCCTAGTCCCCTCCCGTCAGTACGGACCTCCCAAGTACCCACCCGTCAGTACGGACCTCTCTAGCCCACACCCCATAAGTACGGACCTCTGTAGTCAGTACGGACCTCCCTAGTACCTACCCGTCAGTACGGAACTCTCTAGTCCCCTCCCGTCAGTACGGACCTCCCTAGTCCCCTCCCGTCAGTACGGACCTCTCTAGCCCACACCCCATCAGTACGGACCTCTCTAGTCCCCTCCCGTCAGTACGGACCTCCCAAGTACCCACCAGTCAGTACGGACCTCCCTAGTCCCCTCCCGTCAGTACGGACCTCTCTAGCCCACACCCCATCAGTACGGACCTCTCTAGCCCACACCCCATCAGTACGGACCTCTCTAGCCCCCTCCCGTCAGTAAATATTAGCAACTTTTAGAGTGGAAATAAAAACATGAAAACATTTCAGACAGTTTGTTTGGTATTGCCTCACATATATTAACACTTAGGATGTTTTTATATTTACTTCAAAAACATTATTTTTTAACAGAAACTGTTTTCTTAAATACTTCAAACATCAACGTATTTAAATATCCTGCAAGCGAATGAATGGTGTAAATAACAGTTATAATATATCAGTCAATTTATAACTACTGTTACTAGTTAACCAATATATTGCATCCAAGTGCGGACACACAAACATTAGTTTGAAAAGTTGAATTAACCTGCAGATTATTAGCTAACATTCTACTGTTTCGTTTAAACAAATTCAGTTCCAAGAATGTTCTTACATGTTCATCACTGGCTTCCACTGAAGACAACACACGTTGTATATTGGTTTGTTTGTTTGTTTGTTTGTTTGTTGTTTAACGCCGCACCCAGCAATATACCAGCTATATGACGGCGGTCTGTAAATAATCGAGTCTGGACCAGACAATCCAGTGATTGTCAACATGAGCATCCATCCACACAATTAGGGTCGATGACATGCATCAACCAAGTTAGCGAGCCTGACCACCCGATCCCGTTAGTCGCCTCTTACGACAAGCATAGTCGCCTTTAACAGCAAGCATGGGTTGCTAAAGACCTATTCTAACCCGGATCTTCACGGGCGATTGTATCTTGAGATTAGCGGAGTAGAATCTTTGTTCTTTATGGCGACTATTTGACATTTGTAAAATACAGTAAACTACGGTTATAACGAACTCAAAGGGACTACTAATTTTAGTTCGTTATAAACGTAATTCGTTATAAGCATATCTACAGTATAACTACAGAAAATAGTCGGGACTAAAAAGTTAGTTCGTTATATCCGTTAGTTCGTTATAAGCGTGTTCGTTATAACCGTTGTTCACTGTACTGGTATAGCAGGACATGCTGGTGTCATCACTGATTTTCGGCGATCCATTTATATTTTACTGTTTTGCCCTTAAAGTTAAAAAAGAATAATTATGTGTCTGCGGATAATAGAGACTGTTGATTGTCTGGTGTTGACGTTTTATATTTAAAAATATTTCCTTCTATTCATTAGGCCTCTGTGGCCGAGTTAGGAACCAGCGAAGAAACTGAATAATAATTTGTGAAATGCAAGTGAGGTTTGTATAAATATGTTACTGTAATGTTTTAAAGGCCTACGTGTAGTGTCAGCTGAGGAACTGTTTGTGACTGTTTTTGTTTCTGGTGATATAGCTTGAAAAGTAGCGACTCGGAGCAAAAAAAACCCATACAAACAGCTTCCAACTCACCCCTCCGAAATGTATGTAACCTCCTAAATAGTGAATGCATTACGTGAAAACCTTTAGAAGACAAAGGATAAGCTTTCATAAATAGTTGCTACAAATGTACCTTTACTCTAAAAGACACGTAAAGGATTAGATAAAACCACATAAGACCAGCCATTTATTATGGTTAAACTAGAACCCGGCCAATGAAGGATGAATGATCCTAGTGCGTATTGTGTTCCACGTGTAAGGTTGTGTCTGAACAGACTGATAGTTTAGTTTAAACCTATTTTATTGACGAAACGTATTAGGATTGGAGTAAAGTTGGACTTACGAGATTTTCTCCTTATTGTTTTTTTGTTTGTTGTTTGACTCCGCACGTGTGTGGCGAAGACAAGCGAGTTCACCTGTATTTGTCAACCAGGTTTCATGGGGCCTGAGGGGGCACGGGTGGCCCAGTCGTCTAAGGCGCCGCGATTCGCTGTGCAGAGTTGCGTCCCTTGGGCACGCCAGAAACCTATGATTGTTGGTTCGAATCCCGGTTCGCCCCGATTATGTACCTAGGTTTGTCAGCACCATACCCGTGCTCGTGGGTTTCACCGAAGTGGTAAACGTCTGAGACCTGCATCACTTCGGGCTTTCCTCCCACATTAAGCTGACACGCCGTGATATAACTGGAATAATGTTAAAAGCGGCGTTAAACCTAACTCACTCACTCACTCAACGGGCCTGAATGTGAAACAGGTAACGTTATTTCGATTGTTTGTTTGTTTGTTTGTTTGTTGTATAACGCCGCACTCAACAATATTCCAGCTATATGACGGTGGTCTGTAAATAATCGATTCTGGACAAGACATTCAAGTGATCGATATCATGAGCATCGACCCACGCAATTGAGATACGATGACATACATCAACCAAGTCAGCGAGCCTGACCACATTGACATCAATAGAATTAACAAATGTTTGGCTTCATAATTTTACCATCTAATATAAGTAAATATGTACAGTGTTCAGTAAGCTAATATTCAGATGTAAAATAAGGGAACACTAAAACATAAAGAGAAATAAGTTTTACGGTCAGTACATTTGAAATAGCGCGCATGCAAGTTCAACTCATGTCAGAATCAGAGCCTAGATGTGTTTGTGTACATTGTTACCATTGTTACCATTGTTACCATTGTTACTATTGTTACCAACGCCTATTTGGTAGACAAGGCTGCGAACCCATGATGGCATATTATTTTACTGCGTCGAAAACAAAGTTTCCCCTCATTCACTACCATCAGTATATTTAGCGACCGCCTCCGTGGTCTAGTGGTAGAGCGTCCGCCCGGAGAGCGGAAGGTCCGGGGTTCGATCCCCGACCGCGTCATACCAAAAGACGTTAAAAGATGGTACTTGTTGTTACCCTGTCTGGCGCTCGGCATTAAGGGGCTAAAACAAGGACTGGTCGGCTCGGAGTTAGTATACTGTGTCTGAGTGGGGTATTCATGTTAAACTGCGGCATGGTATTTCAGTGAGCTAGCACTATAAATCGGCATCAGTCCGGACTAGTACAAGCAGCCACACAAACACACACACGTACACGCACGTCGCTATACAAGTGCAATAATCTTGAACTTGGACGCGACGTTAAACCTCATTTCACCTCACCACCTCACCTCAGTATATTTAGCACTTTGATAGCCCCAGCAGTGGTTATTAAGCTAAGGGCGTGACTATCTAAAAACTACTAAATGACTAAATGTATACACAATCTGTTGAAGAATGAAACAGTCTGTTCAGGATGACAGGACGCGATCACAATATCACGATGTAAGTTCACATTTCCGTTTACGATTACTCCGTATCCGTTACTTGATTGACTGCACATACTGTTCTCCACATACACGCTGTAGTGTATTAAACCCCTCTATTACCTCCCTTTCACTGCCTCTGCGTCTTGATAAATCACAAGAATCTGAATTTCGACAGTAAATTGAGGTGTAATCGCCCTGTTTTCCTTTTGTATATTTTACCTTTACTGCACGGCACAAATTCAAGATCTGTTTGTGATTGCTTTTTTAATGAATGGGAAATACAGACATCGTTATTGTATTATTAATATTATTGTGCTATTAAATCCTATGATAAAGAGTAAAACACGTTGTGTTCATGAAGCGCCTCTTGTATTAGAGAAAGTTCAGTTAATAATTCTAGCGTGTAGTTTAGATAATTCGCTACAATAATTAGATGGAGACATTATATATGGCTGCACTTTATTCGTGACCGCACTCTGCGATTTGTGTGGATTTTAGTGTCGTGTTGATGCCTCGTACAAAATGTTTGTTTGTTTGTTATATATAGACGCACAAACGCGATTAAAGTTAAATGTATTGAAATATAAAATTAAAAAATGTTTGGACTTCAAGTACTTAAATATACATATAGCCCTCTATGGTTATTATGCATCCCTGGTTATAATGCCCCCCTGATTATATTGCCACCCTGGTTATACTGTCACCCTAGTTATAATGCCACACTGGTTATAATGTCAACCTAGTTATAATGCCACCCTGGTTATAATGTCAACCTTGTTATAATGCCACCCTGGTTATACTGTCAAACTGGTTATACTGCATCCCTGGTTATAATGCAAACCCTGGTTATAACGCCACCATGGTTATAATGCCACCCTGGTTATAATGTCAA